TAAAACTCCCAATATTGGACTCTCACCTTCATTTTATTGATCTGTTTTCCTATTTCCTAATTCATTCTCAAAACTATTAAAGCTATTTGTTGGCTTATAAAGATCTATTTACTTCTTTTCTTTCTTTTTTTAAGATTTTATTTTTAAGTAATCCCTACCCAACGTGGGGCTCGAACTCACAACACCAGATCAAGAGTCACATGCTCCACTGACTGAGACAGCTGGTGACAAGAGCTTCATCATCATAGCTCTGTATGTGTAAAATATTTTTCATAAGTCCTATTTTACTCCATATTTAAATCTGAGCTTAAATATTTAAATTTAAAATATCCAGACAACTTAAATATTTAAATTAAAAATATAAAGCAATAAAATTTTGCAAAAAAATCTACATGACTACATCTAAAATTTAGGGGCAGGGACAACCGTATCAAAGAAGATAAGAAAGCAGAAACTATGTAATAATAAAATGGAATTACTTGATTAAATACCATGTAAAAATATTTGTGTGATAATATGTTCTATAAACACAATTAATACACAATTAGCACATAAATAATCGATCTAGTAAAAATGTACTTTGCAGATTATAAAATTTGATTAGTTACACAGAAGTAATAACTCTTACGAATTTCTGAGGAAAGACTAAGGGAAAACAGAAAAGGTATGAATTTTCAGTTCACAAAGACCAACCCAAAAAGACACAACCTCCTAGAAAAATATTCACATACATTTGGGTGAAGAAATGCAAATTAAAGTAACAATGGCAGGGCACCTGGGTGGCTCAGTCAGTTAAGCATCTGAATTTGGCTCAGGTCATGATCTTGGGGCCCAAGGATCCAGCCCTGCGTGCAGTGCAGCCCCATGTTGGGCTCTGTGTTCAGCCAGAAGCCTGTTTCTCCCTCTCCCTCTGCCTCTTCCCCATCCCCCGTGCTCTCTGTCTCTTTCAAATAAAGAAAATCTTTAAAAATAAGAATAAAATAACAATGCCATATCACTTTCTACTCGCCAAACTGAGGGAAACACTGAAATTACTAATGCACACTCCTACTTTGCTGGTAGAACTCTGATTTGTTTCAACCTACCTGGAAATCCATGATCCTCGTCCTCTCCCCCCGTCTCCCTCCCCCTTCTCCATTTCTCCCAGTCTTCCTTCTCTCCCTCTTTCCTTTCTCTAAAGCAGCATCCCACTCCTGTGAGTCTGAATCTGCCATAAGAATAAAGAAACAAGAATAAGCTTGCTACAAAGCTGCAATCAGCAAACATCTACGTTCTTATATACTCAGTAAAAAATATAATGAGGCTACTAATATTGGAGATTGTGGAGTGTAAAAGTGAAAGACCCCAGAGCCAATTCAAATCTCAGCTGTGCTACTCATCAGATATGTGAATATTGGCAAGTTATTTAATCTGACGGTGTTGCATTTTCCAGATCAGTGACATGAGGATAACACTGTATCTAACTCATGAGTTTGTTTTGATAATTAAAATAGATCTTAACCCACTGAGGCACCCAGGTACCCCACCCCCATCTACTTATTTGATGTGAACATGATTTTTCAGTGTGTATCTGTGAAAACAAAGGGTAAATATAGAACTGATGCTGGATCCCGAGTAATTCCAGCAACAAGTAATATTCGAGGTATATACACAAATAACTGAAAAACATCAGCACCATGCATCTCATTAAGAGATGTATACTTAGGAGCACCTGGCTGGCTCAGTTGGAGGAGCGTTACGACTTTTGATCTTGGAGTCGTGAGTTAGAGGCCCACATTGGGTATAGAGATTACTTAAATAAATAAACTTAAAAAAAAAGAGAGAGAGATTTAATAAAAATTTACTTCTATGTTAAATAACTATCAAAATTTATAACATATGCTGTTTTGATCAATATGTACTACTGTTTGTGATAACTCAACCCAAAAGAATTTTATTAACACTTTATATCCTATGGTCACAGGAAATTGAAAACATCAATTCATTGCATATTTCTGTTGAAGAAAATTAGAAAAGCCTGACCAGTAAAAATTTGTAACATAACATTGTGTATAAAATTGTAGGGAAAGTAGAATGAAAATTCTACTCATTCAAGGAAGAAAAGTATGTAAAATTTCAAACTGCGAGCTCATTCATATGTTTGGTTGCGTCAAATCACCATAGAATGTAGATTCCACTGGATACATCTTAAAGAATGACTTTCACTTTCAACATTTTTATTTTAAAACGTGTGCATTTAGTCATTTGTAACCATTTAAACTTAGGGTGAAACATTTTACATGCCACTTAAAAAATATCTAAGTGGGGGCGCCTGGGTGGCTCAGTTGGTTAAGCGTCTGCTTTCAGCTCAGGTCATGATCCCGGGGTCCTGGGATCAAGTCCTGCATCGGGCTCCCTGCTCAGCGGGGAGTCTACTTCTCCCTCTGCCTGCCGTTCCCCCTGCTTGTGCTCTGTCTTTCTCTCTCTCGGTTTCTCTCTCTGTCAAATAAATAAATAAAATCTTTAAAAAAGAGAGAGAGAGTTTTAAAAAAATATCTAAGTCGGGTGTGGGTGCCTGGGTAGCTCAGTAGGTTGGGTGTCCGACTCTTGGTTTGAGCTCAGGTTATCGTCTCAAGGTTGTGGGATCAAGCCCCACGTCGGGCTCCGTGTTCAGTGCGGAGTCTGTTTGGGGTTCTTGCCCTCTCCTTCTCCCTCCCCCTCTGCTCCTCCCGCTCTCTCTCTCAAATGAAATAAATAAATAAAATCTTTTTTTTTTTTTAAAGATTTTATTTATTTTTTAGAGAGCGCGTGAGAGAGAAACAGCATGAGAGGGGAGAGGGTCAGAGGGAGAAGCAGGCTCCCCGCTGAGCCGGGAGCCTGATGTGGGACTCGATCCCAGGACCCTGGGATCATGACCTGAGCCGAAGGCAGACGCTTAACCATCTGAGCCACCCAGGCGCCATAAATAAAATCTTTTTAAAAAAATCTAAGTGGGCATCAAATTTAGAGGGATTGAAAGCAAAAATTTTGGAGACTATTATGGTACACGCTGTGGTCAATCAGAACAGTACTGAGAAAGCAGAGGCACCTGGGTGGCTCAGTTGGTTAAGCCTCTAACTCTTGATATCAGCTCAGATCTTGATCTCAGGGTCTTGAATTCAAGTCCCAGGTTGGGCTCCACATTGGGCTCCATGCTAAGTGTGGAGCCTACTTAAAAAATAAACAAACTAACTAACTAAAAACAGTACTGAGAAAGTATACTCCACCTCCCAGAACTATGCGGCATGTCCCTATTTAAGGCCATTCATCAAGCACTGGGACCTACAGAATTTATGATACCCAATAACCTCTGAACTTTTCCTTTAAAGTTGGTGTGTGTTTTGTTTTGTTTTGTTTTAAGATTTTATTTATTTATTTGACAAAGAGAGAGGTAGCGAGAGCAGGAACACAAGCAGGGGGAGTGGGAGAGGGAGAAGCAGGCTTCCCGCCAAGCAGGGAGCCGGATGTGGGGCTCGATCCCAGGACCCTGGGATCATGACCTGAGCCAAAGGCAGACACTTAATGACTGAGCCACCCAGGCGCCCCCAAAGTTGGTATTTTGAGGGACTTTTGTTCCAAGTGGTAGAAAGAGCTATCGTTTAGTGCTCATGGAAAGAGCACTCCATCCCAGGATTACTCAACTCCACTCAACAAGGCTGAACCTGGCGGATTCCATATAAGATAACTTTCCACTTTAAGATTCTGTGAGTTAGTATTAGAAACCTTCTAAATTAAAGGTTTCGATAAACTGAATACAGAGTTTTGACTACTGATGAAATAAGTAACTGCATATGAAGCTGTGGCAATTTATAGTACTGTCTACATACCCAAAGCTGTCCTAGATACAATGATTGCTATACAGATAAAAATACAAGAATTCAATATTTGGGTAGGATACATCTCTACATTGCTAGGTCCAGGTTTGGCAAGAACGACTAAATTCTGGAGTGGTAATGGACAGTACATACCACCCTTAAAAAACTGAAATAGAAACTCACAAGATTTAGGCATGACAGAATTTGGAGTTGGAAGAAATAGGTATGAGTTGTGACCACATTCCTAACTTCAGAGTTCCCTTCCTTCAGGGCGCCTGGCTGGCTCAGTCAGTGGCGTGTGTGACTCTTGATCTCCAAGTTGTGGGTTCGAGCCTCCCATTGTGTGTAGAGTTCACTCAAAAATAATAAAAAAAATCTTTAAAAACAAAGTTCACTCTCTTCTGCTGCCAGCCATCTCAGCCTTGAAAAGACATTTCCTCCCTCACCCACCCACTCCCACACACGTCGTAATTTCATTATCAACAAACTGGAAATAAAAAATATCTCGTCCAGCCTGTTTTTCACAGCAACTATGGGAGTCCCAGCAGGTAAAGTGGACATACTAATCTGCAAACTTTTGAGTAGGAAAGGGTTATATTATTATTTGTTTTTACTCAGGGAGGGTCTTGGGCAGAAATTACCTAGATATATAATTTGCCTGGAAAATGTATCAAAACCATATAAATAATGTCAACTGCCTTGTACTATAATATTTTCAATAATGCAAGTAAGCTGTTGGTAAATACTCTATAGTTTTCCCTTCAGTACTGATATTGATTACTAAATATTAACACCAAAGTAATAATATGGAAGATTAAGAAAGGATTAAGAAATGTTGTTTTGTTCCTTCTGTTGATTTAACACGAGTCACTGAACTTCCTAGTGACTGCCCTTCTTACCTCAGAGATAAAGATCAACTTTTAAACATTTAATCGCAAAGTTCTTGGTGCCTATTCTTTATCAAATGATCCCCTGCAGATAGTCTTTATAAGCTCTTTTTCTGGCATCTTCTAAAATTCCATTTTTGAGATCATTTTCTTCTAATGTCCAATTGTTCTAGAGAAATAAATGAAGCCACTTAATTGCATCAGACAAAATTCATTCCAAATGGCCTGAGGAAAGAACATACTTGAAGGATTTAGACTTCACTTCCTGGTCAATGCAGGATCTCTGTGAGAATGCGTACTTCACGTGGAACTTGCTCTCTCCAACATCAAAGGCTGCATATTTTCATAGCTCTTCTGCCACCATGAAGGAGGTTTTCTCGAATGCCGTCCTTGTCCTGGCCATCTCCGTGTGGGCTGCCCTTGCAGTTGGTGAGTTATGTATCCTTGCTCTGCCCACGTTTTCTGGGGGATATCCAGTATTACAGGAAAATCAGAGGCAGGAGTGGAAGTGCTGTTCAGTTTTGTTTAATACTAATTCCTTTATGTTACAGATGTAGAAACTGAAACCCAGAGGAAGAGAGGATTCATTCCCTCAATGTCATTGGTATCAAAGCTGGGAGTCAAATCCAGACCTTCCAAACCCAGGACTACTGAACTTTCCAAAATACCTGATTACTATCGAGGCATTCAAACCTTAAAAACATTCATTTCCAGAATCTGTATATTTACATTTCTCAAACCCCAAAGGGAGTATCAGGGAGGACAGCGAAGCAGAGACTGCCAGGAGGCGGTGGTGAGGGGCTATAGTTACAGGGTGGAATGAGGAAGTATGGGGACTTATGGAATTTTCCCTTTTTTGGTAATCTGAGGAACTGTGCGTGGCTGTAACTGGTCAGTTAGGGCCTATGGCTATTTCATGTGGATTGCTTCATGAGCCTGTTGGTGTTAGCTTGGTTGTCGGTGGTCACTGTGGGCCCTCTTGCCTTCTTCAGATTTCTACTGCACAAGCCTGTTGCCTAAAAGCAGCCTCTACACTCAACAGGTCCTGTTTCCAACTGGACTCTGAAATTCTCATTTATCTTCAATGTTTTACTTTCTATTGGTGCTTTCTCTCACTTAAAACATTTTTTTCAAGACTCTCACATCTTAAGAGGCTCTGTAACAAATTGAAAACTGTTCTTCCTGCCTCTAATATCTTATGGGGAAAACCCCTCTTCTTCTACTGAAGAAAAATCTATTTCCTTCTACTCCAAGACTTCTGACACCAAATGTGTGGGTTTTCCACACCAAGCAATCCTCCCATTTTCTGTGGACACCAACTGGGTATCCCACAATTTAATATAATTATGGCACTACTATCTGGCATCCATCCAAACACCACAGTTAAGGATTCAGTCCCACAAGACTGCCCCTACTTGGGACAGCAGTCACAAGACTGGGCCTCCAGTACTTCTAACCAAAGAGTTATAAGTCAGGAGTTCCCCTGACCCCCTCCTCAGGTTCAGTAACTTGCTAGAACGGCTCACAGAGCTCAGGATAGTGCTTTACTTACTGTTACCAGTTTATTATAAAGGACACAACTCGGGAACAGCCAAATAGAAGAGATGCATAGGACAAGGTATGTGGGAAGGGGCAGAGAGCTTCCATGCCCTCTCTGAGCATACCACCCTCCCAGCACCTCAGTGTGTTCAACCTGGAAGCTCTCCAAACCTTTTGGTTTAGGATTTTTATGGAGGTTCCATTATGACAGTGTCAACTGAGAAAAAGAGGCAAAACTGAAAAAGAACAAAGGCTTCCATCTGAGGTCTCGGAATTGCAATTTGGCAAGCACGGTTTCCAGAGTAACCAGAAAAGTGTCCTGCTCACATGGGAAAGCGAGAGGGGTTTTATGAGAAAGAAAGAGGGTAACTACAGGATATAAAGAAGAGAAAAGAACTTAATTCAGTGCTAACCGGTTGAGCTGCTTTTGGTGACTACCTAGTCGATTATTTTATAGGTGCGATCAAACAAAACTCCTCCTGGAATGCATTAGTCAATGTTTCTGTCTTCATAAAGGTCATGTCGACAGTTTTATGGTCTGAGGACCTGTTGTTCTGTTGGATTTTACAAGCAACTGTTTGTAATACAATGGCCCCTTCTGGCCCAGTTCAAGAGTTCATTAGTTAGAAAGGAAAATAGAGCTTCAAAATGGAATCTCTCCTGTCTAAATATTTTATACAATTCCACAAAGGCACGCTTAATTAAATCATTGGTCACTGGCCATTAATTTAATCTCCACCTTCTGATGGGATATGTTGCTTCCTGTGTGCCAAGCAGGGTCTCCCTCATCCTAGCTTTTTTCCCCTAAGGTCAGAAGACAGAGCAGCAACTCTTCCGAATGTGTTTTTGTCTTCCAGATTTCCCTCTTCCTACAGGCACAGGGGCTCGCCTACAAGAGACAAAGGTGAGCTCTACTTCCTTGGTTCCCAAGAACAAAATGGGGAGTAAACCAGTTTCCTGGATAGTCCCCAGAGCTTTCTTCTGAGAGGTGCGGGGGGAGGGGACTTGTGTGGGAATAACACCACAGTAAAAGCTGGGTCATCAACTGTGTGTAGCACATTTCATATGTTCCTGGGCCCTCTTCCCATGCATTATTCCAAGCAGTTCATACTCTCTTGTGGGATAGAAGCCAAGTATTTTGAATTAAATGGATGATGAAGTCATGGCTCAAGTTCAGGTCCATCCTATGCTGCAGTGGACATTCTTTCAGCCGAGATAGGCCAAAATGTACATCCTGCCTCCCCCACACTAAGGCCCCACAAATATTCTATACCTTCCTTCTATACCCTACCTCTGCTGTGATAAGTTTGACATCACTGCTGTCTGAAGCACCACACACAAGTCACTCAGTAATGTTCATAAGAAAAGTCTAACCTTCAAGACATGTTCCTTTCTGTAATCTAACAATCACATTTTGTGGTTGGTAGGGCGGGATTTTCATCCTAATGAGGAACTTACATCTTAGACTGGGGAGTTCACAGATTATATGTTACATTATAGTATATATTATATTATAGTCATATTGTTGAGTATGTGCCAGGGGTCAAACCCCAAAGCTGCTAAAGACTGTTCCCTGGATGCTTGGTCTCGCATTCCTTCTTCAAGCCCCCTACCCCACTACCAGTGACAATGGTCAGAGGTCCTGGAGGAAGGCATCTGAAGCAGTAATCTGTGTCTCATCTTCAGGCGCAGTGCACTGGGAATATAGATAAGTGCTGGATTTTCTCTTACATCAAACCAAGTGAACCCATATGTGGCAGTGACCAGGTTACTTACAGTGGTGAATGCCATCTCTGCTCCCAAATCCTCTAAGTCTTGATTTTTATTTTCCCTTCTCCCAGTCAGGAGGCTAAAGGTAGCCAAGATAGGAGTAACCTCTTCAGAACGCTTCCTACCGGTTAGATCTTCCCTTCAGTGACTCCTCCATGATTTGTTCCTCCATTTCTTCGATCTTCCCTTATGCTCTCAGAAGTGATCCCATTCACACAATTGCAGAAACAGAAACCCACTGAGTCGAGAGTGTTCTGTCTGGCCTGGACAACTATCAAGTGGAAAGTTCTCAGCAGCAACGAGCCACAGCAATCAGATCATGTGACCGCAGATGAGGGTTACCCTCAAGCCCCCTCAGGCCAAAGAACAAAAGCCTGATGAAGAAGAGGAAGAGGGGGCCAGGTGCAGAATCTTCCCAGCTGTTGCTTTATTGATCCTTAAATGGGTATTATCCTCTCAAACAACTTTCTTTAGCTTCCAACTTTCTTTTAGCTTTCATGCTTTAGCTTTCATGGCTTAGTCTTTGGGCCCATCATATGTTAGGCATGAAGTGGCCAATGCTTTGGTCTAAGAGGAACAGCAAGGCACAGAGGTTTTCATCAAGGAGGCTGCCTTACAGAGTTTGGAGGAGGATTCCCTGACATCTGCTTTCTCCTTTAAGGAAAAAGCAACACCTTTGGATGACTAAGATTTAGAGATTAAGTCCAGTATTTTAAGAGAGAGAAAAAGCAAAGACAGGAGAGTAGATAAAATTTTCTTTCTCTCCTTCCTCTTGGCTTCTCCTTAAAAGAAGAAATAATAATCCTGGTCACAATAAGAGATGTCAAGCTGGGCAGGATTGGACTTTCTTGCATGCCTTCCTGCATAAATACCAAAATTTACACTAGAATCCATAAAAGACTTGTGAGGTGAACAACTTTAGTGTCAGCCTCCAGCACTGGCATAGAAGCTGACAATCAGAATGCACAGTCTGGGGCGCCTGGGTGGCTCATGGTTAAGCGACTGCCTTCGGCTCAGGTCATGATCCTGGAGTCCCGGGATCGAGTCCCGCATCGGGCTCCCTGCTCGGCGGGGAGTCTGCTTCTCCCTCTGCCCCTCCCCCCTCTCATGTGCTCTCTCTCTCAAATAAATAAATAAAATCTTAAAAAAAAAAAAAAAAGAATGCACAGTCTGGGGGGTTTAGGACATCACAGACCCAGAGAAGGCTAAAACCAGGAGATACTTGAGAGATAGATGACTTTCAAAGAACTCACACTGACTAGTATTTTCTAAAATATATTCTTTTTTTTTTTTTAAAGATTTTATTTATTTATTTGCGAGAGAGAGAATGAGAGACAGAGAGCATGAGAGGGAGGAGGGTCAGAGGGAGAAGCAGACTCCTCGCTGAGCAGGGAGCCCGATGCGGGACTCGATCCCGGGACTCCAGGATCATGACCTGAGCCGAAGGCAGTCGCTTAACCAATTGAGCCACCCAGGCGCCCCTCTGAAATATATTCTTAGTAGTTAATAGGGGAATGAAAGGATTTTACTGTATAATAATCTAGTTTGGACTGATACCACATTAATTACCAAAGTATTTTTAAAAACTTTGCTCCTGATAGCTCCATTCTACCCCCTCTTCTTTGTATATTATCACGCAAATTATACCTTCATACATGGATGCCCATCAATATAGACAGGTAATTATTGCTTTATGTAGTTGCCTTTTCAATCAGAGAGGAGAAAAAAATTATAGACAAAACATACATTTATACTGTCTTTTCTATTTCCCTATATAGTTACCTGTACTGGTTCTCTCTGTTTCTTCATGTGGATTTGAGGTTCTGTCTAGTGTCTTTTCTCTTCAGCCTGAAGGACTGTCTTTAGTATTTTGAAGCAACAAATGCTCTCATTTGGGTTGTTTCCTCATTTTAGCTGTTGTGAATAGTGCTGCTATGAACATTTATGTAAAGGTATGCACTTGAGCACCTGTTTTCAATGTTTGGGGTATAAACTTAGGAGTGGAATTTGCTGGGTCCTATAGTAATTATATGTGTAACTTACTGAGAAACCACCAAATGTTTCCCACAGGGACTCGACCATTTTACATTCCTGCCAGCAACACTGAGGGTTCCAATTTCCTCACATTCTCCCCGACATTTTTTAATATCCATCCTGTGGATGTGAAATGATCTCTCATTATGGTTTTAATCTACATTTCCCTAATGACTAATGATGTTAAGCATCTTCATGTACTTGTTGGCCATCTGTATACCTTCTCTGGAGACATGTCTATTTGAGTCTTTTGCCCCATTTTTTAAAAAGATTTTATTTTATTTATTTGAGAGAGAGAGAGAGAGAAACAGCATGAGAGGGGAGAGGGTCAGAGGGAGAAGCAGGCTCCCCACTGAGCCAGGAGCCCGATGCGGGACTCGATCCCAGGACTCCAAGATCATGACCTGAGCCAAAGGCAGACGGTTAACGACTGAGCCACCCAGGTGCCCATTTTTTTTTTACTTCATTCTTTGTCTTTTTATTTTTGAACTGTAAGAGTTCTCTATATATTCTTAATACTAGATATTATAATTTGTAAATATATTCTCCCATTCTGTAGATTGTCTTCCACTTTCCTGATAATGTATTTTGATGCACAAAGTTTTGAATTTTGATCAAGTCCAATGTATATATATGTATTTTTTCCTGCTGCTTCTCCTGCTTTCAGTGTCATACCTAAGGAGCCCCTGTAAAATCCAAGGGCATGAAGACTTACCCCTATGTTTTCTTCTAAGAGTTTTATAGTCTTGGCTATTAAATTTAGGTTGTAGGGACGCCTGGGTGGCTCAGTCAGTTAAGCGTCTGCCTTCAGCTCAGGTCATGGTCCCAGGGTCCTGGGATCCAGTCCCACATTGGCCTCCCTGCTCAGCGGGGAGCCTGCTTCTCCCTCTCCCTCTGCTGTTCCCCCTGCTTGTGCTTTATCTCTCTCTCTGTCAAATAAATAAATAAAATCTTTAAAAAAATTTAGGTTGTAGATCTATTTTTGAGTTAATTTTTATTATGGTGTGAGACAGAGGTCCAGCTTCATTCTTTTGCATGTGATTATCTAGTTGTCCCAGCACCATTTGTTGAAAAGACTATTCCTTCTATCACTGAAAGGCCTTGGCACCCTTGTCAAAAATAAATTTGTCATAGATGTTTGAATTTATCCTGCACTCTCAATTTCATTCCATTGTTCTATAGGTCTATCCTAATGCCAGGGCACAGTTTCTATATCTTGGTAGTAAGTTTTTGAAATTGGGATTTGGGGGTTCTCCAGCTTTTCTTTTTTTCAATGGTTCTGGCCACGCAGGACCTCTTGCAACTCCATATGAATTTGAAAGTAGGCTTTTCCATTTCTGAAAAAAAAAAAAATGCCATTGGTATTTGGATAGGGATTACATGGACTTTGTAGTTTGCTTTGAGTAGTATGGACATTTCAACAACATTAAGTCTTCCAGTCCATGAGCATGGGAGAGTTTCCATTTATCAGGACTTCATTAATTTCTTTCAGAACTGCTTTTAGTTTTCAATGTACAAGTCTTTCACCTCCTGAGCTAAATTTATTCAGAAGTATTTTATTTTTTTGGGTGCTATTGTAAATGGGATTGTTGTTGTTGTTTCTTTGTTTTTTAAGTAGGCTCCATGCCCAGCATGGGGCTTGAACTCACGACCTCGGCAGAGTTGCATGCTCTACCAACTGAGCCAACCAGACTCCCCTGTAAATGGAATTTTTTTGGGGGGGGGGATTTTATTTATTTCAGACAGAGAGAGAGTGAGAGCATGAGCGGGGGCGGGGGGCAGAGGGGCAGAGGGAGAAGCAGACTCCTCACTGAACAGGGAGCCTGACGCAGGGCTCAATCCCAGGACACTGGGATAATGACCTGAGCAGAAGGCAGATGCTTAACTGACTTGAGCCAGCCAGGCGCCCCTGTAATTGTTTTGTTTTGTTTTGTTTTTTTAAAGATTTTATTCATTTATTTGACAGAGAGAGAGAGAACAAGTAAGCAGAGAGGCAGGCAGAGGGAGAGGGAGAAGCAGGCTTCCCGCTGAGCAGGGAGCCCGATGCGGGGCTCGATCCCAGGACCCCGGGATCATGACCTGAGCCGAAGGCAGCAGCTTAACCGACTGAGCCACCCAGGCGCTCCACCCCTGTAATTGTTTTATTAATTTTATTTTCAGCTTGTTCACTGTTGCTATATAGAAACACAACTGATTTTCATGTGTTGATCTGTACCCTGAAACTGCTGAATTTTTCCTCTTCTATTACTTGAAAGAGTTTGAAAAGGATTGGTATTTGCTCTTAAATGTTTGGTAGTATTCACTAATGAAGAAGATACCTGGTCCTGAACTTTTCTTTATTAAGAGGTTTTTTATTACTGATTCAATCTTTTTACTTGGTACAGGTCTGTTGAGATTTCCTATTTCTTCTTGAGTCAGTGTGTTTCAGTACTTTGTCCATATTTCTTCTAATTTGTGTTTTTCTAGGGATTTGTCCATTTCATCTAGATTATCTAACTGTTGACATAACAATAGTTCATAGTATTCCTTTATAATCATTTTTATTTCTGTAAGGTCAGTAGCAATGTCTCACCTTTCATCAAATTCATACTTTAATTTTATTGCATATTCTTTTTGTGATACTCTGGATTTCTACTTAAATATTCAAGATTATTTTTAATTTTCTATATTTGATTTAAGGCTGAGTATGTTTCACATATCAAATATCTTTGACAAATAAAGATCTATAACAATAGGGATTTTTAAATATTTGCTACATAAGAATTCACTATAAGCAGTGTTTTTCCTTCTCAAACTTAGCTTAAGATTATCAAGTGAAATTTAGTTATAATTTATAATATGCCATAAAACAAAAATAATCATTTCAAAATATAATTTCTTTCAGATACAAAGGGCTTAACATAACTAAACTGTACGATAGACCATGTGTAAGTAAAGTCACTCTCATTTTTCATTTGTAGGAGTAAACCAGATATACTGATATGCTGTAGAGAGCTTTAAATGGTTTG